AATTACAAGAGTCACGGTATTTTTTGCCCCTTTCTCATTCATCGCCAACAGGAATTTCGTAAACGATTCGTGATAGTACGGCGTATTTTAACCGGATCCTTCCGTGAAGTTGTCAGTGTACCCGGTTCGAAAACCAGTCCGTTCTTTTTCTTTGTTCCCTCAAAGGGTGTCGACTAACTTATACTCGACAAAGAGCAAAGGTATCCTTGTACCTCGAGCACCCTATTCATGGAGACATTTTCAAATTTTACAAACGTGATTGTAAAGAGACAAAGGGGACAAAGTTTCAAAACTTTGGTACTTATACACAAATGGAGATGATCCGTTTGTAGGGAGTACTGGAAAAATAGTTGGTGAAATGTGTGAAGTGTCAGAGGAACTCGTGTAGGGAAATTAGGAAGAAGTTTTGAGTGTTGTTTGGGTTTGGGGGAAATTTGGGGAGAATTTAGGAATTTTGGGATTTTTGAATTTTTAATTGGTACTTTTGGAATTGGAGAATTTTCCATTTAGGGATTTTTGGAACTGGAGAATTTTCCAATTGAGGATTTCGGGAATTGGAGAATTTTGGAATTGGGGAATTTTGGAATTGGGGAATTTTGGAATTGGAGAATTTTGGAATAGGGGAATTATGGAATTGGGGAATTTTGGAATTGAGAAATTTTGGAATTGGGAAATTTTGGAATTGGGGAATTTTGGAATTGGAGAATTTTGGAATTGGGGAATTTTCAAATTGGGAAATTTTCCATTTGGGAAATTTTCGAATTGGGGAATTATGGAATTGGAGAATTTTGGAATTGGGGAATTTTGGAATTGGGGAATTTTCAAATTGGGAAATTTTGGAATTGGGGAATTTTGGAATTGGAAAATTTTCCATTTGGGGAATTTTGGAATAGGGGAATTATGGAATTGAGGAATTTTGGAATTTTGGGATTTTGGAATTTTAGAATTTTAAAAATTTGGTTAGGTTAACTTTAATTTCAGTTTTTTGAATTCTAACATTAATTTCAATTTTTTTAATTTTAACTTTAATCTTAATTTTTTAAAATTTAACTTCAAAAACTTTTGTAACTTCATAATTTTGTAATAACCTTGTAATAACTTTGTAACGTTATAAAACTCTTATAACTAAAGTCTTTGACTTCACATACTTTAAAAACCTCAAACCTTAGTATTCTAAAATGTCGACCAAACGAAATTAATTAATAACACTAGCAAACAAAATTATTCCAAGACACCTGTCGGGAATCTTATCAAAATTTAATTAACCAAAATTTCTCGTCCAACTCTAATTCGCGTTGTAAATCGTTATCTGTGTTGTGATTAAATATGTCCTGCAGTCATACTCCCCGGAATAACGATATTCCCTTATCTTATCCTCGCTAGACTCCAACTAGAAGCCGATAATAACAAGCCAAACTTTCCCCTGGTTAAAAAATTACCATACAAAATTCTCTTAAACTGCATTATATAATTTCTAATAATTTAAAAATTTTTAGTTTTTAATTTTCAATTTTTATTTTTAATTTAATTTTAATTCCAATAAACATCCAATAGATTTAATTCGAATAAGACCAATAACTAATTTTTCAAAAAAGGTGATCAAGTTTTTTAGCAGGGAACGAGATAACAAGGAAGTAGCCCAGTTTCGAAAAGCACCAGTCAAGTGACATCCACGAGCTGGTAACTTTATCCACCTCTCCCACGTCGTTTCCACGTTAATCGAGTGTCCCGAGTAAATCGACACACGTCCCAGAAAGCAATCCACCGCGTGAGATTTGAGAACACCTGCAGCCACGACACCGGATCGATATTTTCCATACTGCGTCGTCCGCTTTTGCATCCACCCTTGGAAAGGAACGTGTCCGTTTACGCAACGAAATTGAAGCTAAGGGCAAAGGTGACGTCCATCGTTAGAACAGAAGAGGATCGTTTGCCTGAGGAGAAGCTGTGGACAACGTCGTTCAAATGTTAACGCGACCTCTGCTTGATGGAAACTTGGATAGATTGAATGGTTAGCCACATTCCAATCTGAATGGGTAGTTTCGAGTAATTCGTACTTGAAGAAAGGTGATATGAGGATCATATGGGAATACTGCAAAGTGGTACTTGTGACGTATCATTTTGAAGCTTGCAGGGTGGTGAAAATGACAGAAGACATATTTTATGTTCTTTGTGAAAGCATATGTGTGTATGTGGTATCCCTAGGATATCCTAATGTATTCCTGTATTCATGGTTCGTAGTTGACCTTAGATATCCTAGACAGTATTGTAACTCTAATATTCTTATATTCAGAGGTACCTATAGATAGCACAAGATTAGTTGTCCTTAGATACTAGGTACTTCAATGTTTCTAAAAAATTCGTACATATGTGGAGATACTCATATGAAGAGATTTCACATATCTCTGTATCTTTAGACCTCTGTGCTCATACATCCCACTATTGCAGACCTCTGCTTCAAAAGATGTCCACATATTCATATCTCTACCTACATCGCTCGATTCATACACCTACCCTATTTAGCTACCTACATAGCTATACATAGCATATGTGTACACACATATGTAGGCACCTAATGTATCTATTTGGTGCTATTTAGTAATGCTAACTTAACTTTAAAAACTAACATATCTCAACTCACAAATTGCTTAAATATATAACAAAACATGGGTATAATAGCAAGTTTGCATCGTACGAAAATGGTATAAAGCGATAGTTAGAAGTTGCTCGGGAAAAAACGCCGGTAACCGCAGTTTGATAAAAGTTTCCAACGTCGTACAAGCAAGTCGCAAGTTCGAGGAAGGAAAGAAAAACACAATAAACGTGACACGTTCGACGGTAGGTAGCAGTGGCTGTTTGCTGGAAATAAAAGGAAAGGCAACTCCCGACTTAACGACTCAATGCACCGAAAGATTCGAAAGATCGAAGCTACGTGATCGGCAAGCCGGAGTTTTCGTTTCTCGTGCCTCGAAAACGAAATACCACTCGACGCGTCGTACACAGCAGCTCGGTGTTTTAAACCGGAAGCGTGGGATGTAAGCCGCAACAATGAACTCAACTACGACGATTTATCTTGCGAGCTTCCAGAGATCTTTCGGCGTACGTGAGGCGAGTAAACAACGTCGTTACTCCATTGATTCTTTTCGAAACGATTTTATTTCGATGGTGGTTACGATCAATTGCATCGTGATTTTGATCGTTTATGTGTTATTAGATACATTTGCAGGGAAGTAGAATGATAAAACAGGGGTTAACAAGAGATAGTGTTAATGAAACTGTATGTTGAGTTAAATAAATGAGGAGATTAATAGGTACTGTGTATGAACATGTATGGACACATATGAAAGTGTGTATACTGGTTAATGTATGTATTGTGAATAAATAACATGTATAATATATATAGATACGTACAATGTAACATACACATGTGTAACATATATACATATGTACAATGTAACATACACATGTGTAGCATACATACATATGTACAATGTAACATACACATGTGTAGCATACATACATATGTACAATGTAACATACACATGTGTAACATACATACACATGTATAATATACATACATATGTACAATGTAACATATACATGTGTAACATACATACACATATATAACATGTATACCATTCAGTACTACATATGTGTGATATATACACCATACAGAACTATACATGTATATGTACATGTACATCATATAGTACTACACGTGTATCACATGTACATCATATAGTACTACACGTATACCACATGTACACCCTACAGTACCATATATGTGTAACATGTATGATATGTACATGTATACCATACAGTACTACACATGCATAAAAATGCACCATACAATTCCACACATGTGCAACATACACAGTACATATCCTACATTCATAACAACCTTCAATATCCATAAACAGAATTAAAAAAATTAAAATGTATAGAATACAACATTAGAAAGTTTCATATTTTCATGTTGAACAGAAAATAATGAAAAGAATATATTAAAGACCCGGTAATTTGCTTTCAAAAGATAGCGAAGAAATGTAACAAAATGCTATCGTGTCTGGATGCATATTGCAACGTAGCGGAAACGATGAATTCCGAAGAAAGTCAGTCCCCTATCGTCAGCTCGAGGCTCGAGTCAGATCTAATCTGCAAGTCTAATGCAGTTTCGCGTAGCGCTGACAGATTCGTTGAAAGTATTTCCCGTGATAAGGATCTGCCTGCAGATTGCATGCCTGAGATCTCTTCTTCGCCGCGCGAACAACAGAGGCTTAACGTTAATTGCGAGCCAGACACGCGATAAAATAATTACTCAGCCAAGATTGTTCATCAATTAACGCCTATTTTGCAGAGCCGCTCGAAAATTCCTTGCGATCGATCGTAAACGGATGGAATTGTTTAAGCGGAACACTTTATGCAATTTGCTATTCAATTATCAACCTTGTTATATGCAAAACTTCTGTTTGTATGCAAATAATGGGAAATATGTATGGAAATTATATGTAGAGTAATGATTAATATCTTAGGGTGTATGATTAAGACACTTATATACATTTTATGTATGCTCTTTTATGTAAAATATTATGTCATTTGTTTCAAAATTTTGTTAAATTGTAACGTTAATTAAAATTAGAAAAATTGAAAAAAAATATAAAGTTGCGAATAAGAATTATTATATCCACATATGAGGATAAGATAAGATATACAGAGTGTCTCACAACACAACCTACACTAGTTGCGAGACACTGTATACACGTACACAAACAAGAGTATACGTAAATAGAATAAATTATGCGTAAATTTAACGGCAAATCAAATAACCCCAATCGAAACTTTTGCAAAAAAAAAAAAAATAAAAAGAGACCATTGTTGAACAGCCCCTTAAAACGGTTTCGTTTTCGAACAATAGTCACAGGCTGCATTAGGAGAGATCGCAAATTACAGTCGAATGAAAATTACAGGGAGCCATAGGGTTACAAATGAAATCTACTTACGACGATTCTGTTGGGGGTGACGTCCAAGGGTCGTGCTCCGAGGACAGGGGTGGCCGGTGCGCTACCCCTTCGACAGGCCTTCTCGTAGGACGTGTCTGAAACATACATTTGGAACATTTGCAATTTAGCACACGGTAATTCGATGAGTGGGCGTATCCGGCCCGTCACTGGGGCGGAGGGGAACAAATGGTTGCGATAATTATTGTATCTCGTTTCGGGTTCGGATGGTAATTGGCAACGGGCCAGGTAAACTGAAACCTTGCTGCTGAAATGATCGTCTGCTTATACCTCTTTCTACATATTACCTTTCGTTAAAATTTACGTACTTCGGGTACGTTTATACGATTTATCATTTTAATTAAATTGTAATAATTTGTGCATGGCTTTAATTAAGCTGAAATTGTTTGGTTATGATTTTAATTAAGTTCTGATGATTTTGTTGTGACTTTTATTGAGTTGAAATTATTTGAATGTGATTTTTATTAACATCAAATAATTTGATTATGATTTTTATTAACATAACATGATTTGATTATGATTTTCATTAAGTTAGAATAAGTTTAATATGATTTTTATTAACATGAAATGATTTGATTATATTTTTCATTAAGTTAAAATAACTTTAATATGATTTTTATTAACATAAAATAATTTGATTATAATTTTCATTAAGTTAGAATAAATTTAATATGATTTTTATTAACATGAAATGATTTGATTATATTTTTCATTAAGTTAAAATAACTTTAATATGATTTTTATTAACATGAAATGATTTGATTGTGGTTTTGATTAAGTTGAATTAATTTGAATATGATTTTTATTAACATGAAATGATTTCATTATGATTTTGATTAAGTTAAAATAATTTGAATATGATTTTTATTAATTTGAAATAATTTAATCATAATTTTAATTAAATAAAACTGATTTGTACCTAATTATGACTCAAAATTGAGAAACTACAAATTAATGTACTGCACCTGAAATATGAATTATGTACATACTCAGAATTTAAAAAATAGTATCTTTATTTTCACCGAAAATGAACCCTAAACTTGAGACATTCAAATAAAACTCGTACATTAAAACAAAAATAATAACTAACTAATTTAACAAGAGTTGCTTCGACAACTGACGAAAATGAAAAATGAAATAAAAATCTGTCAAGCAAAGTATCCATTCATTCAAAAAGCACCTGTAAGTAGCTTAACAGGAAACCGCCAGAGTCCACAACCCTTATCGATACTCAAGAAAGAAAAGAGCTCTGAGATTCTTATGCGAGATTAAAAAAGGGATTTCCGTTTTGCCTGTTCGCATGATTCAAACTCGGTCACGGCATAGTTGACGGAACCTTGTAATTTCAGGAACGACAACGGGTCATTGTGTGGTCCTATAGGCCATTCAGCGCACCATAATGACGATGTTCTAACGAAAACGCGATGGAGATGTTCACAATGTGCAGGTAGCGAGACGGTCAGCTTTATTCCGCTTTGGAATCCGTGAACAGAGGAACTGATTGTTGTAGTATGATTGCTATAGTATAATTGCTACAGTACTGGTATTATGGTACCAGTATTATAATACGATACAAGTTACACCTGTTACGCTTTTATGTTCAATTTAGGGGTTGACCAGTTATTAGTATAATTCAGGAAAATTTTTGGAACCGGAGATTAATATAATAAATTCAGTTATATAGTTATTTTATTATATTATATTGTTATGTTTATAAATACAGTTACTTGTATTGCATAATTAAGTTAGGTTGTTCACATCATTTTTTAATATAATTAAAGTAGTTGTTCAATGGCTTGACTGACTTCAAGATTTAATTTAATTGAGATCAGGACAGCAAAAATCAGCTACCACTTCATTGAAAATTTTTAGAATATATATTTTTATGATTGTGGATGCTGTAACAAATTTTGTGATCAATTTTTATAATCACTGACTTTGTACCTTTATTTCTTCAGCATCTGACATTCTACATTTACCTTAAAAATATGACATGTTAATGTTAAAATGCTTAAATGTAATTTCTATGCAATGAATATTTCATAGGAAAAATTCTGCCGAACTTCAAGAACCATCAATGTCTTCCCTATGCATGTAATGTATTCATAGAGTTTTCGGTTTCACCCTTCAAGATGAAAACACTATTAATATTTTAACCGTACTGTCTGGTTGTCTAATATCTTATGTGATTGATTTATTACTTATTATGTGTATGACTGTCAAAATTATATCCCTGAATACGCAATTTTGTATCTAAATCCACAAAACACAGATCTACAGATCCAGAAGTCGAAATACAATGCCAGTTTAAATCTTGAAAATCGAAAATCGTTAATTTTAGACATAAAGAATCGGTCATTGTAACGCAAACCTCGTGCAAACATTACCAAAAAATCATTTCAGCCTCTCAACAATGAGTTCTCGAACCACAGTATCGCGCAGGGAACACACACCGAGCCCCTCGAATGGAAACAACAATCGTAAACGTTTCGAGTTCCATAACTGATTAATTGAAAAAGTCATTCACAAAGTACCTTTAACGTAGTTCTTTCCATTTAACTCGGGCTAACCACTCGACACGAGCAGCGTTTCAAGCTCTCTCTCCCGCCACGGACGTTTCCGGCAACGGAAATCAACCGAGGGGGAGAAGAAACGAAAGCAGCCCTGTAATTAACGCCCTTGCAAAGCCAACGGGATCCCCAAGACCTTTACTCCCGACCTCTCCTGTTTATGGTCAGCGATTTAAACGCTTCTCTTGGCACAACACAGTCTCGAGTTACTCTGGACCTTCCTTCGTTGTTACATGCTTTCTGACCGGGACAACGGAGATTCCTACCTTTCTTCCTTGCTAATGATCTCTAGCAGAGTCTTTTCTGCACGAGATTCATTTGAGCTTGCTTTACTTTTCTGTTAGAAGTGTATTTAATGCTACGATTAATTTCAAGCTGGGAGAGCAGCGGGAGAACGTTTACTGGGATAGCTTGGCTTGCAATTTCTCTTGCTTTGATACGGGGAGACAAATTGGGATTTCTTTGTGAAATTCGAGGTAGGCGTTTTTTTTTTTGGCGATTGTGGTTTTGAATGATGGTTAGTGGATGGCTGTGATTGGTGTGACGGCTGGTTTTGAGGGAATGTTGGGTAGACATTTGAGTTGTAATTTTGATATAAGTATGTGTGAAATATTTGTGATTTTTCGAACTTTATGTGTTTTTTAAATTAGGAGTTTTTAAGATTGCAAGTTTTTAAATTCTTAAAATTTCTAATCTTGAAATTATGAAGTTCTCAACTTTTCAGCATCCTTAGTTCCTAATTTCCTAACTTCCTAATTTCCTAACCTCTTACTTTCCCAACCTCCTAAGATCTCAAATTCTCAAATTCCTATGTTGTCAAATCTTCAAATCCTCAAAATCCCTTAATTCCAAAGTTTCAAAATTCTTATATCCCCAAGTTCAAAAATTCCCAAATTCCCAAATTCCTAAATCCTCAAATCCCCAAATTCCTAAATCCTCAAATCCCCAAATCCCCAAATCCTCAAATCCCCAAATCCACAAATCCCCAAATCCCCAAATCCCTCAATCTCCAAATCTCCAAATTTTCAAATCGCCAAATCCTCAAATCCCCAAATCCCCAAATCCCCAAATCCTCAAATCCCCAAATCCCCAAATCCCCAAATCCTTCAATCTCCAAATCCCCAAATCCCCAAATTCCCAAATCCCCAAATCCCCAAATCTCCAAATCCCCAAATCCCCATATCCCCAAATCCCTCAATCTCCAAGTCTCCAAATCCCCAAATCCTCACCTATCCACCTCCCCAAATCCCCAAATACTATCCCCAAATATCAAAAACCCTCAAAAAAGACAATAAACAACAAAATTTCGCAAAGTTTGCAACGATCTCGTTAATTAAGTGCGACCAACCAGCTGACAGTCCGTTTCAGCGGAAATCACGAGTATAATACCGTTAAACGAAAAAACGTTGCCGGTCGCAACCGGCCGATCCAAATGCATGGAAACTAGTCGCTGAACATGTCTCGTACCACGAAACACGAGCGGAAAAAGAAAGACGCACGTGTCGCGACTGAATAGACGCATTCTTCGACGACGACCTGTGACACAAATTCAATGGAGTTCGAGGAAAAATAGCGAACAAAAGGGGCACGACTTCTTGAAACTGTTAACAAGAAGGGAGACGAACAGGAAGTCTTGCTGTTTTTTCTTTCGTTTCTGAATTGAGGACGTTCTTGGGTCACGTGTTACATTCAATTCCGATTTAAAAAACATTTTTTTTTGTTTAACCACAAATATGATCCATGTAATTTGTACTTTAGAGAAGTTGTTACATTAGGTAGATCGTTTTGGCTGTAAGGGTATTGCGTGGCTGATATTTTCAATGGAATGATACTATTAATTTTGATTTAATCCTTTTTCATACGTGTTTAAATTATCTTTATTCGAATCACGAATGAAATTGATTGTGTTTAGTTTTCAATCACTTCAGCGATGAATTGATACATGATCGAACAAACTTTCACAAGTGAATTTAATCGTCTTCCTGATTCACTGTATCGATACTTCTATTGACAGTCCGAATAAATTTTAATGAGTGTACCATCAGATTCCTTAGGTTTGATTTACTGTATCAATAATAGTCCTCCGATCAATTCCTGTATCGATGGTACAGGCTCAAGTAAATAACAAGTTTCACCATATTCTTCAATTTTAATTCACTATATCAATAATACTCTTTCCATCAATTCTAATGCTGTCGAATAAATTTTAACAAATAAAGATTTCTCAGGTTCACTCTACCAATACTTCTATCAAACTTATCAATTATAACTGCTACAGTAAACTCTTGTCTCTAAAACTTCGAAATCCCAGAGCTACAAATTTGTTGTCTATCTATTAGGACAGCTTGTAACATTCAGATGCAAGATGTTTATAGCCCTACTGACAGAACTATATTCACTTATCGGTGTCTAATCACTGACTGCAATGTTTGCCCAGGGGTTTACAAACTCCAGGAACAATTCTGACCCCGATCGAGCAGCATCATTAATAAACAGCGAGGTTACGT